TACAACATGTTTTGATATACATAAGCAATGACCATTGATTCTATATAGCTCTTCTCAGACACATCTTTATCAAAGTTTTATTAGACTCAGCTCAAGGTACACCTCTATTTGGGCATCTCATTACTGAGCAAGGACACTTCAGCCATTTCTAATACCACCACTCAAGCAAGATTTTCAAAGATGGCAGCAGAAATGAGTTGTAAGGGAACTATAAATCCTGCTTGCCCTTCTCCCCTCCTTATGCAATTGCTCTCTCAACCTTCCTTGAAATCTGAACCTGGATTACTCCTATTCCCTGAGCATATCTTTCACATTCTCATTTCTGCTCACTTATTCCACTTCCCATTGCTGAAACTCATTCTCCCTGGCCAAAATCTACCTTGTGCTTTGAATTCCAATAGCATTTAGCTTTCACTGATCTTTTGGCACTTGTCACATTTCAGTCTTCATTACAATTATTCAAAACTACTTGACTGAGGACAAGAGTCACTTCTTATGACCTCAAAGTTCTACACTAGACACTAGAGATTTTATATATACATATATTTTAGTACAACATATATAAATATATTAATAACAATATATAAATATGTAGTAATATAGTTTATGGAGATACTTGTGTTTTGTTCTCACTTCTGTGGATATTTGACAATTTCGCTTCCATTCCCAGAAGGTAGCAAGGCCTTTACTGTTCCCTAGTTGAAGGGCTCCAAATTTTAGATCCAAAAATCAATTGTTTCTAGGCACACTGAAGACAATTTCCAGAAACAATTTTGAAAAATGTGAGCTCATTAGAACTGATGTAGAAAGAAAAGTGAATGCTTTAAATGGTAGAAGAAAAAAACTGGTGGAGGGAAGGGAAAGTTAAAGGGTTTTGATGGTTTAATAGGACAGTGGAGACTTACACTTGCATACAGCACCCCAAAGTGTGGTGCATGCCCTGGGAGACTGACCATTGTACCGTGGCCTTGGAGCAGGGGTAAGGGTCTCTGAGCAAGTCTGTCTGTCACTTCTCCTTGCGAAGGGCCCAACAGAGGCAGGAGGACTAGCATTCACATCAGCCATAGAGGGAGCAATCCTACTGATGCAACCAACACGGATTAAGGACCTGGCTTCTACTCCACTTTTTAACAGAAGAAACACTTGAGTCAGCAGAAAGCAGCAGCCTATGTAAAAAGAGCTAAAATGCTGTTGCTTTTAAGATTTCTCTGACGAACAGTGGCCACCGTTTTAGACACTACTGAGATGTAAACTTTGGGATACAACTTGGGTTCCCTGCGTCGGTCTGGGGCCCTCGATTTTCCTAAACTTCAGATCACCTACCTAAACCTCCCCTCCTGGAGTCCTCCAGTAGCCTCCAGTCTTTCCACCGAGTGGTCCTTCCTCTAATTCGCCCTCCAGGCTTCCTTTCCCCATCTCCACCACTCGTCCCTGCGTCAGACTGTCCTGCAGACCTCCCCTCGTCTCCCGGAGTAGTGCCCGATCTCTCCTTCCTCTCCTCCTGCCCGGGCGGCCTCCATTTCTCCCTCTACCTCCCCTTTTCCCGCGCGTCTCACGCGGTTCTCCTTCTACTTCCCTACTTAGGTGACCAGCCGCCATCCACCCCACCTCCAGCCCATTGAAACGTCCTCCCAGTGCTGCGCAGCCGTTGGGGAGGGCGTGGCCCCGCGAGTAACAGGTTCTCCCCTCCCCACTCTCCGCGGGCTCAGGCGCAGACAAAGACATTCCACAGCCCCCGCCCCCTCCGCACACTCCGCCAGAAGGGGGAGGAGACACGTGTCCAGCTAGCGCTGAGTCACGTGGAAAAGAAAACCAACGGAGCCAGTGGCCACCTGCGCCTGCGCACCAAGCTCTGGCCTGGCGGGCTCGGAGGGAAAAGGGGAGCGAGGAGGCGACTTCCCCGGGCCCCGCGCTGGTGCGCAGGCGCCGTCGCCAGACTGGGGACTTTGTTCTCCGCGGAGAAACCCAAGGGCGGTGCCGGTGGCAGGCTGCGCACGCGCGCCGCCTCATTTCCGGTGCTCTCTCTCTCGCTGGGTCGCTCGGGTCGGCTTTGGTCGCTGTCGGTCCCGCTCTCCCACCCCCGCCAACTGCCGCTCGGGCCTCTGCCGCTGCCGCGTCGCTTCCTCGCTCTCTAGCTCACTCGATCGTATATCTTCCCCGATGCAGCGCCGGGACGACCCCGCCGCGCGCATGAGCCGGTCCTCGGGCCGCAGCGGCTCCATGGACCCCTCAGGTGCCCACCCCTCGGTGCGTCAGACGCCGTCTCGGCAGCCGCCGCTGCCTCACCGGTCCCGTGGAGGCGGAGGGGGGTCCCGAGGGGGCGCCCGGGCCTCGCCCGCCACGCAGCCGCCGCCGCTCCTGCCGCCCTCGGCCACGGGTCCCGACGCGACAGTGGGCGGTCCAGCTCCGACCCCGCTGCTGCCCCCGTCAGCCACAGCCTCGGTCAAAATGGAGCCGGAGAACAAGTACCTGCCCGAACTCATGGCGGAGAAAGACTCGCTGGACCCGTCCTTCACTCACGCCATGCAGCTGCTGACCGCAGGTAAGCGGGCCGCCCCGGCTGCTCGAGTCGCGGGGCCACTCCGAGGCATGGGTGGCAGCGGCTTTGTTCCTCTCCCTTCCCGCTCCCTTGGGACCAAGGCAGTAAGACAGCTCCTTTCTCATTCTGCTTTGGGAGCCTGGATCCCACATTCCCCCTCGGCCCGGGGTGCGAGGGCGAATTTGTAGGCTACAGTGGAGGCCCGAAGGCCACTTGGTGATCTCCTAGCGCAAAGATCTTGATGGATAGTACGAAGATCCCCGCCCCTTTCCCGACTCTTCCCTCTCCCTCCGCTTGCAGCTACTCCGAGCTCTGAGTGCTCACGTTATTTCAGAAATGAACATTTATCTTGCCTTTCTTCTAAAGGGAAAGGCTTTTTGATCGAGAGTGACAGTGAGCGCCTCGACCGAGGGTGTAGGAGGTGAAGACAGCCTAAGCAGGAAGGGGTCGTGGGAGGAAGGGTCGAGCAGAGGTGGAATAAGGCTGGAATGCCCTGTCCAGTGTGCCGCTGTCGTTGGGGTTGGGCCGGATTTAGTGGTAACTGTAGATTAAGTTGCTGAGAGGCAGGAGCGATTGGGGGTGGGAGGTGGGGTGGGAATCGGAGCTTGAGGTTTTCCGAATCAAATTTCTGACTTCGACTGTGAAAATGGGAATTGCTGCAGAGGCAGAAGGTGGTTCTCCTTTATTTTACAATATGTGTTCACCATCCTTCAGGAAAGGGGAAAACAACCCTAGAGGCAGGCAGTGAAATGGAACGATTGGGGAAGGTAAGGGACTCCCGCGTAGTTTGTATGACGTTCCCCAATGAGATGGACAGAAACAATGAGAAGTTGCATGATGCTGATACCTGAATGGCTTGGTTTTTTTCTTACTCCTAAAGTTTGTGCTTCAGTAGTGGAGTAAATTAGAAATGGTAGTCTTTGTTCTTTATGTGGACTACCACTCCTGTACCACTCTTGATCAGTACTTGGTAATTATTGAGTCGCTCTGATTTTTCTCTAAAGCTTTCTTTAGACTTTCGCTTTTAGTTAAAACATGTTTTAAATAAGTCTTTTGTTTTTACTTATTTATTTTTTGAGACACAGTCTCACTCTGTCGCCCTGGTTAAAGTGCCGATGTGTCATAGTTCACAGCAACCACAAATTCTTGGGCATTAGTGATACTCTTGCCTCAGCCTCCCAAGTAGCTGGGACTACAGGCGCCTGCCACAACGCCTGGCTGGTGTTTCTATTTTAGTAGACAGGGTCTCGCGCTCTTGCTTAGGCTGTCTCAGATTCCTGAGCTCAGTCAGTCCACCTGCCTCAGCTTCCTAGAGTGCTAGGATTACAGGCGTGAGCCACCACGCGGGGCCCCCTAATAAGTTTTCTTATGATACCAAAGTTTTATTAAGTAAAAATTCACAGTGTTGAACATTGAATAAGTAGTGGGCAAGTTTGGTATAATAGATAGTACCCTTTGAAAATATCATTTTAGTCCCTTTGTTCTCTCTTTCTCAACACTGTTAAGAAGTCTTCTCCTTTAAGCATAATAAAACACGTGGTAGTCAGGAATAAGAACATTTAGATAAATAATGTTTTTAATGCTGTGCTTTGCTGTAGCATGTAAATTTTGAAACAGTACTACTAGTTGTGTTATAAAGATTTTTGAGGCTCGGCGCCTGTGGCTTAAGCAGCTAAGGCGCCAGCCACATACACCTAAGGTGGTGGGTTTGAATCCTGCGCCCGAGCCCGCCAAACAATGATGGCTGCACCCAAAAAATAGCTGGGCATTGTGGTGGGCGCCTGTGGTCCCAGCTACTTGGGAGGCGGAGGCAGGAGACTCGCTTGAGCCCCGGAGTTGGAGGTTGCTGTGAGCAGTGAAGCCATGGCACCCTACCCATGGGGACAGCTTGAGGTTCTGTCTTAAAAAAAAAAAAGATTTTTGAGGGCAAGAATTGACTTTTATCTTTGTATTTTTCATACTGTGTTGCATATAGCAAACGCTAGGTGTTTGGTTGAATCTGAAACCGTGTACATGCAGACTGAGGAATGTCAAACTAAATGGTAAAGACTGACTTGATAGTCTTATTTTATTTCTTCAAATTCAGTCCTGACTGAATGTGTGAGAATAAATAAACTGCAGAGCTAAGGTGTTGGCTTGGGTTTGAAACTCTGACCCTTAACTCATTACCTGATCTTGGGAAACTTTCTGGACCTTGGTAACCTTGTTGGTAAAGTAGACTGGTGAGTTGTGAGGATTAAATGGTATATAAAATCACCAGCAGTTTCTTTTGATCTATATAATCATTAGAAAATAACCCGTTACCAGTTTTCTTCTAGTTGTAAATTAGTACTGAACAAGGTATGACAACACGAGATATATTTTGCTTTTTTGACCACATCAAGTGCCCAGTGTGATGTTCATCCTTTTCTTTTTCTTTTTTTGCGACAGAGTCACAAGCTGTCGCCTGGGTAGAGTGCCATGGTGTCACAGCAGCATGAAACCCCTGGGCTCAAGCGAGTCTTCTGCCTCAGCTTCCCAAGTAGCTGGGACTACAGGCACCCCCACAACCCCCAGCTATTTTTGTTGTTGCTGTTGTTGCAGCTGTCGTCGTTTTAGCTGGCCCGTGCTGGGTTCGAACCTACCAGCCTTGGTGTATGTGGCCGGTGCCCTACCCACAGAGCTACAGACACCGCCTGATGTTCATCCTCCTTTTTTTTTTCCAGTTTTTTTTTTTTTGGCCAGGGCTGGGTTTGAACCCGACACTGCCAGCATATGGGGCTGGCGCCTTACTCCTTTGACCCACAGGTCCCGCCCTGATGTTCATCTTTTAAAAGATGGTTTCTTAGGATAACTAACAAAAACTGTTGATCATTAAAAGTTATATATAATTTGGGGCAGGGCCTGTGACTCAAAAAAGGGTGCCGGCCCCATATGCCAGAGGTGGTGGGTTCAAACTCAGCCCTGGCCAGAAACTGCAAAAAAAAAAAAAAAAAGTTACATATAATTTAACTGTCCTTCCTTATCTTTTGTTACTAAGAGAGTGTTCTTTATTTTTAACTTTGACATTTTTAATGTCTTTTTTTTTTTTTTTTTTAAAGAGACAGAGTCTCACTTTGTTGCCCTCGGTAGAGCACTGTGGCATCACAGCTCACAGCAACCTCCACCTCTTGGGCTTAAGCCATTCTCTTGCCTCAGCCTCCCAAGTTGCTGGGACTACAGGTGCCCGCCACTCGTCAGGCTATTTTTGTTACAGTTTGGCTGTTTGTTTGTCACTATGTCACCCTCAGTAGAGTGCTGTTGTGTCACAGCTCACAGCAGCCGCAAACTATTGGGCTTAAGTGATTCTCTTACCTCAGCCTCCCAAGTAGCTGGGACTACAGGCACCCATCAGTGTGCCCAGCTATTTTTTGTGGCAGTTGTCATTTAGCTAGCCCAGACCAGGTTCAAACTCGCCAGCCTCAGTCTATGTGGCTGGTGCCCTAATCACTGTGTATGGGCCCTGAGCCAGGTTTTAATACGTATTGAACTTGACTTTTTTTTTTTTTTTTTTTTTTTTTTTTTTTTTTTTTTTTGAGACAGAGCCTCAAGCTGTCCCCCTGGGTAGAGTGCCGTGGTATCACAGCTCACAGCAACCTCCAACTCCTGGGCTCAAGAGAGTCTCCTGCCTCCGCCTCCCAAGTAGCTGGGACCACAGGCGCCCGCCACGCCACAACGCCAGGCTATTTTTTGGTTGCAGCCGTCATTGTTGTTTGGTGGGTCCGGGCTGGATTCGAACCCACCACCTTAGGTGTACGTGGCTGGCGCCTTAGCCGGTTGAGCTATAGACACCGAGCCTGAACTTGACTTTTAAGGTATTTCTGAATGATCTCAAGAAGGGATTGAGCTGAGATCACAATTAAATGTGAGAAAGACTCTGAAAAGATAGTATTTTAAGCTCCAATAAGAACACAGGTAAGAAAAACATAGCTAACACTATGCCCAGGCACTGATCTGAGTACTTTATATTAAGTATTTATACAGTAACACTGTGAAAAGTTAGTCTTAATATCCTTACTTTTGCAGATGAGAAAACCAAGGTTTCCTGAGATTAGTAATTTGCCTAAGTTAAAAAAAATTAGTGAACAACATAACCAAGATTTTTAGTCAGTTTACACACTTAGCGTCCTTCTCCTTTCCTATAATCTGTGCTCCAAATTATATTTTAATTGTAAGCTTAATTGGACGAAATATTAAAAGAAAATCTATTTGAAAGGATCAGAGTGGGACAGTGCCTGTGGCTCCAGGAGTAGGGCGCCGGCCCTGTGTACTAGAGGTGGTGGGTTCAAACCTGGCCCTGGCCAAAAAAAATAAAATAAAAAGAAAGTATCAGTGCTAATAGGGCAGTGAAGATGACAGGGCTAAAATACAGCAGAGAGCGGAGTCTAGCACAAGACTGTGACTCCTTCAGGTACCTTTGCCCATTCCCTGAAAGGTACCTTGGACTTAAGACCACTCTTACCTTACCTCCCATACAGCACTGCTTGTCTCTTTCCCAGGTATAACTTTATTTTGCAGTTAGCATCTGTGGCACTGTATATTGTGTTACCTGCAGTATGTATTGCACTCCTTCGTGGTGAGAATTAACAGCTCCACCAGAAGGTGGGATCTTTTGTCTACTTGTTCACTGCCCTATCTCCTGTGCCTTGAAGAGTGTTGCCCCAAGTGGTCTCTTACTAAGTATTAAGAATGAATACGGGCTCAGGGCCTGTAGCTCAACCAGCTAAGGCGCCAGCCACATACATCAGGGCTGGCGGGTTCAAATCCAGCCCGGACCTGCTGAACAATGACAACTACAACCAAAAAATAGCCGGGCGTTGTGGCGGGCACCTGTAGTCCCAGCTACTTGGGAGGCTGAGGCAGGAGACTCGTTTGAACCTAGGCATTGGAGGATTGGAGGTTGCTGTGAGCTGTGATGCCATGGCACTCTACCCAGGGCAATGGCTTGAGACTCTGTGTAAAAAGAAATGAATACGTATTCATCT